ATAATTTTTTTTAAATAACTTCTATGTCAATTATTTTGTGTCAATTAATTTTTCTGTCAATTAATTTTTACGGCCTGTACAAACATTTTGTACAATACGTTTTTAATATTTTTCAAAAATTTTGTTGAAGCGAACAACTTTGGAGATTACATATTGATAAAAATTAACAAAAATCAGTGTGTTCAATATTTTTAAATACAAACCAAAACGTAAACGTTACCAAACTTTATCAACATTTTTTTTATTTATTAAATTTTATTAATTTAATAAAAAAAGTGTTTCTTTTCATTGGTGCATTATTGTTGTCTGATTCTTACCCACTCGTGAAGGTCATATAATTGGGGGCAAGAGTGATATTTGTGTACAAAATGACTAATTCGCCCCTCTTAACTTGAATGGCAAGTTGTTATGTAAGAACTAAATGAAAAGGGTAATACTGTAATTTCGTTCATCAATAGACCCACATCATGTCAGTTCATTCAGTTTATCACTCAAGTGCGATTAAGGAAAAGAAAAAAGAAGCCAAAAATTTGCACACATGTATACGGCAGTAATTAAAAATAAGTAAGGACAAAAAAAAAAAAAAATCAGTAAGAAATGAAAAGTAAATAAGGAAAAAAAAAAAAAAAACCCTTCTGGACCTTTTGAACCTGACCCTTTATATAAGTCATTACCCATCCATTCGTTTAACCACACAATCTTCACCATCTCATTCCAACAACTTCAGCAACTCCTTCACCCCCACAATATTAACTACATTCAGTGTAGATATCCGTGTAAAGGAAGAGAGAAGAGGTTAGTAAAAAGCACAGTTCATATTGTTGATAGCTTTAGAGCTGAGTTACAGTTCATAATCTTGATAGCTTTAGAGCTGAGCTGCAGGAAAGCGAAGAATCACCAGACGGGAAAACCGGCTGGTTATCTGGTTTCAGCCACAGTTCACCTTCTGTGCTCAGTTTCACTATCTGTTGGTTGCCTTTTAGCAGAGGCTCAGTTTGCCTATCTGTTCCTTTTTTTTTTCACACCAACATCAAACATTTTACTATACATTTTTCATACATTTCTCTTAACTTTTGCAGTCATCATGCCGAGAACAAAAAGAGCAAGACCCGAACGTGGCGAAACCTCTAACCTTGTACAAAGTCAACCACAGCAACTACATCATTGCTATCTAACTGTTGATTTCCTCACATATCATCACGAACCAGCTTATTCAAATTTTGCTAATCGACCAATTGTTACGGGGAGAAAAGTAAAGCTACCTTCTCAATATGATCCACTGTTGCTTGGCAGACTGAATACGATGGGATGGTTACCTTTAACTAATTTACCACATAAGGTATATCCCCGTCTTGTATATTTATTTTACCTTCACTTGACATCTGTTGAGGAACAAGTGGAATCGTTCAGTCTGACCTCTTATGTAAAGGAAGAAGTAATCACACTCAACCCCCGTACTTTTGCACAAATTATTGGAGTTGAAACAGAAGATTTGCAATGCCATTTTCAAACTGAGGCTCAGTTAGCTAACATTGTTGGTGATCTAAATGAGGGTTATACCACAATTTGTGAGAGCCGATTCATCGGCACTAATTTACAAGCAAGACATTTAAAACCCCACCTTCGTATTCTTCATCTATGGATAGTTGAAAATGTCACTCCCAAAAAAGGACATTTTGATGTTGTTCCATGTTTTAATGTTTATTTGTTATATTGTTTTGAAATTGGACAAAAATTAGATTTATGTTACATATTACTGAGTGAAATGATGGTTGCAAAACTTGGTACTCTCAGTGGCCGGTCACTACCTTTTGGAGCTTTGTTAACCAAAATTTTCAAAGCACATCATGTCAACCTTGAAGGTAAAGTAGATGTGAGAATCACTTCACTAATTTCTGAGTACACACTGACCCGAGCTGGTGGTGCTGAAAACTTATTGGGCTCTATTAATTTTGAAAATGAACCAATACCTGATGAGAAAGAACCCAATGACAATGCCATGCCACCAAATGAACAACCCCAATATTGGACTGATTATTTAGCGTTGGAACAAGAACAATACAATCAGCGCCTACAATGGGAACAACAAATGGCTAATCAGGTCAATACATTGGGTACTCGGTTTGATGAATTTGTCGCTGCTCAGAACTCACTAATTCAACAATTTGGTGAGTTTCGTGTTGACTCAGGGAGACGTGATGAAGTGGCAAGGAACCGCATTGATCAAATTGACCATCAAGTCACTCAGGTGTACCATCTCTACTTCCCTCCACCTCCACCACCACCTCCACCTGACAATGATGCTTAACTTATTTCGATGAGCGTTTAAATGGTTCACACATGCTGTGGTTACATTTTGTTTTCTTATTTTGTTGTGGTTATTTTATTTTCTCATTTTGTTGTGGTTATTTTATTTTGTTATTTTGTTGTAATCTTTTGTATTGACGTAATGAATAGTTAATTTTTTTCTGCACTGTAAAATTAACCAGTGACAATGTTATAACAATTTGTAAGTTATATTATGAAATTAAAAAAAAAATTCATACAAAAATTAATAAAAAGAAATTAATAAATGTGTAACAAAGCCTTCGTTTCAATAAAATGAAAAAATTAAAATTAAAATTAAAATTAAAATTAAAATTAAAAAAGTCTACGAATTAACAAAAAAATTTAAATTAATAACAAAGCCATTATTTTAATGAAATGAAAAAAACAAATTAAAAAAAAATAATCGGCTCAAATGAAATAAAACAAGTTAAAAATTAATAATCATACTTTTTTTTTAATAAAAAGGAAATAAAAATTAATAAAAACTTATTTGGTATAATATCTGAAAATAACAAAACCATTATGTTAACATGAATAAACAAACAATTAATAAAAAGAAATTAAATTTAATAACAAAGCCTTCAAATTGTTTGAAAATGAGAAAAGTAAATTAATAAAAATATGTCGTCTACAAATTAATTATAAAAAATTTAAATTAATAACAAAACCGTTATTTTAATAAAATGAAAAAAACAAGTTAAGAAAAAAAATCGGCTAACATGAAATAAAAAAAGTTAAAAATTAATAATTATACATTTTCTTTAATGAAAGGGAAAAAAGAATTAGGCCTGGTTTGGGATCTAAAAAAAAGCCAAAAAATTAAAAAGTTACTCAAAAAGTTAAAAAGTTATCACTATTCACCAAAAAAAATATTTAAAAAATATTTTTACACAAAACAAAATTTCAAACAACTTTGATGTGGGACAAGCAGAGCTCACTTTTTGGAAACGAGCTTCTATTTAGGTGCACTAATAACTCAGTGTTGTTCGGTCCGTGGGGACCCATCATGGGTCTCGTTTTAATAATCTGAACCGTTTAATGTGTAGAAATTGTCAAGTACTATATACTTGTGAAAAATCACAATGATTAGATATCGGTAACTATATGATCAAATCAGTTAAAATTTATAAAATGAATGGTGTTATAGTTAACGGTTGAAAAATAAACTAATCCGATCAGATAGTTATCGAAATCCAGTCAACGTGATTTTTTACAAGAAGATAGTACTCGACGAGTTCTACACATTTAACGGTTTTAATTAGCAAAACGGGACCCATGGTGGGTCCCCATGGGCTGTACAACACCTTCAATTCAATGCCCGAAAAGCAAGGAAACATGTCCCAGCCTCTACTCTACCAACGCTGTCCCTGCATTCAACCCACCGTACCACCTATTCCATCTAATCTTCTCCTATACACTAATTTATACAATTTTTAATACACATTTTTTTGTAAAAAATAAAAAAGTTATCCCAAACAATCATCTTTTTTCCTCAACTTTTTAGTCCAAAAGGTCAAAAAGTGGACTTATTGAGGACACCCCAAAAAAGAATTAATAAAAACTTGTTTGGTGTAATATCTGAAAATAACAAAACCATTATGTTAACATGAACAAAAACACAATTAATAAAAAGAAATTAAAATTAATAACATAGCCTTCAAATTGTTTTGAAATGAGAAAAGTAAATTAATAAAAATATGTCGTCTTCAAATTAAGTTTAAAAAATTTAAATTAATAACAAAACCATTATTTTAATGAAATGACAAAAACAAATTAAGAAAAAAAACTCGGCTAAAATGAAATAAAAAAAGTTAAAAGTAGTAATTATATATTTTCTTTAATGAAAAGGAAAAAAAATTAATAAAAACTTGTTTGGTATAAAAATTACTAACAAAACCATTATATTAATAACATGAACAAAAAAAAAAAAAAAAATTAATACAAAGACATTTATATTAATAACAAAGCCAAAATTTCAATAAAATGAAAAAAAATAAAGTAATAAAAAAGTGTCGTATAGAAATTAATAAAAAAATTAAAATTAATAACAAATCTATCCATGGCCAACAATTTTTTTTTTCAGAAAAAGTTAATAAACATCATAAATTGAATGAATATCATAAACAACAATTTTTGCATGCATCATTCAACTATCAAATTCAATAAAGTGTTTGACCCTGCATATTATACATTGCATCAACAACATATTTAAGTGTCTTCATTAACGTAATAACATTTTGTTGATTGACCATGTGATGATCTTTGTGTTCCCTTTCCTTTAATTGCCATTTAGCCCAATCATTATCCTCATTGTTAGTTATCTTACAAAAAGAGAAAAGAAGTCATTAAATTCACAGTTATGTCAAGTGGGCGAAATTATGTAATAAATGTGTCAAAATTATTGAAACTAGTAAAATAATTATACATTTAAACCATTAGTCATTACGATATTCACTTGCCTTGTTCATATCACAAATCTATCCATGGCCAACATGATTTTGCCACATAGCAGTATCAATTGCATTCCTAAAGTTAGATTGGTACGTTAACCCATGTTGTGACATGTCATCATAGTCAGCTTGGTCTCCAACAAACCCGTCTGCTTCCGCTTCTGTGGCCATTTCATTATCAGCTTCCATGAAGAATGGGTCCATATCTACATGCAAACGGATTCAATTGTGCACTACACAACATGCAATCACGAGAGGGCCTTGTCTTATAGACTTGTAATTTGGCATGGACTGCAATATTGGGAATCGCTTCTTCAGAACACCAAATGTTCTTTCTATGACATTGCGTAACGACGAATATCGATGGTTAAACAATTCCTTAGGTCCTGAATAATGACGGCCATAAAACTCTTGCAAGTGATAGCGTTGGGAACGAAATGGGGCAAGAAATCCAGGCATGTTCGTGAAACCAGCATCCACTAAATAATACTTGCCTACATGTAAATAATGAATGCACTGTTCTGTCAAACAGATGTACAAAAAAATAATTCCGCAATGTGTACCATATGTTATTTCGGGACACTTACCATGGGGTGGGTGTGAGAATTGTAGATTAGCTCTTGTAATAGAGTCAACTAAAATAGCGTTGTCGTGAGCGCTACCTCCCCATCCAGAATTAATAAATGTGAACAACATGTTGAAGTTGCAAACTGTGAGTACATTTTGCGATACCGTAGATTTGCGACCGCGGAATATATTTTGTCTTGAAGCAGGGACCCATGCATCCACCAATGTGCCATCGATAGTATCGACACAATCCTAATTGAAAGATATTTGTTTGACATTAAAAGCGAAACAAACTTGGATATTACTTTTATAACAGGAGAAAAAAAAAATATCGTCCCTTATTGTTATGTAAAACTTATAGGACAATCATTAAATTCATACCTTGAACCAGGGAAAAAACCTCTTGTCATTTAAAATTTTTGCCAATATCTCGTCTTGGTTACGTGGTTTGATAACCGTTGATGCAAGATTGCACAATGCCCGCACAACAATTTTTATGTGCCGACAAATTGTTTCCGTGGAGTGTTGAAATCTATTTGCCAGTAGTCGATGGCGATCATTTTGTGCAAAAGTGTATAAAAAAATTCCAAGCGATTCCTCCACACTGATATGCATATGTTCAGTATCGATAAAGCCATTTTGGAGTAAGGTGTCTTTCAATAAAATGAATGTTTGTGCATCCATTCGCATAATGCCCATCATTGTTTCTGGATGGCCATTTAATAAGCTGAAGATGTAATCATCACGTTTGAATGGACAAGTTCGCTACGGTCGGCGACTACTTGACGCGTTGATATGGTCATGCATGAAAACAATCATCAAAAAATCCATAAAATCTTCAATAACCTCATCCTCCTCTGATGAGATCTCCATTGCATTGTTTTCTGTGTCGGATGACATATTATTTCGTCTATATCACAGTAAAAGCATAATTATAAAATAATGTTTGACAATATGGTAACGCTTACTATTATTGATGAAACTGAATTAAAAAGTGACAACATGAATAGTCGGCCTTAGTCATTTACCAGCATTTACTAAAATATATACGAGAAGAAAATTTGTTTAATATGTAATCATCTTGTAATAACACAACATATTGATATAAAACAGAAACTACTTAAAAGTTCAATAAAATTAAACATACGAAGATGGAAAAGAAAGAGCATCTCATGGAATGAAAAAAAATGATAAAAAATAAATCAGGAATCATGAAATCATCTTGCAGAACGACAAGGAGATTTCGCTAACACAATCAAACCACAACTTCTCACTTCACTGCAAAGCGAGGATCATAGCTAGGTGCATATGGGTAGGAGTATGCATAAAAAACCTTCGCTATTCCTTGTCTTTAAACAGCGTCAGTGCCCTAACATACTACGCCGGTGGTATGTCCCCAAGCTCTAGTAATGCATCTTGACATGCATCAATGGAATACTCATCACCACCTGCACTTACAGCCTCTGTCTCATTTGATCGTGTACGTGAATGTTCTGTTTTTGCCTGTACGTAGGATGTGAAAGCTGCGCACACATCATCGAACCCACTTGACCGTGACTTTTTCGAACGACCACTGTCAGTCTGGCTGCTTGTAGGGCCTCTCTTGTGACTTTTGCCCTTCGCTGGATCCATGTACTCATCGCCGAATAAGTCAACAGGAATGGCTTCAGCAGAATTACTCCCACTAACTTCAGGGTTTCAAAATTTATTTAGTATTTCATCTTCTTCATCTGAGTCAAGGGCTCCTTGTGTGGATGCACAAGACAAGGCCCCTGTGGCACAACAATTTTCAACAATTTTTGAAATTTCTTGGAAATACTCAAATCTTTTTGTCCTAAACTTTTTTACATTTCTGGTAGCCTATAATAATTGAAAATATTGAATTAAGCATACTGTATGTGTGATGAAATGTTAAAAAAAAAATATGAAAATGGAACAGGTTAATGAAAAATCTTATCCCAAAATTCATCGAGTGCAACAACAGTGCCTACAATGGGATCCCATCCCAGACCAATCTGTGCCTGCAGTCGCTTAAACGTCTAGTAATCAGCTTTCAATCGCTGATATTTTTGTCGCACCTGCTTTGCTGTATACCGAAAACCATACCGATTGTGCAACTGATTTGCAAAATGATTCCGATGCCTAATTGTCCACACAGTAGTACGGCCCGTTGTTTGATTTTTTTTAACCTCTTCTCTCTACATGTTTATTAATTTCATTTCTATTCTGGGAGTCCATATTTTTGTATCTTGATTGTCATCGGAATTGTTTCCATCCATCTATAAACATACAATTTATATTTAAACTATTCTGGAGTGGATATAAAACAATAACAGAGCAAACTACTCTAGAGTGGATATAAAAAAATAACTGAGCAAAAACCAATTACAATTATTTATGTAGGAACCAAAAGTAATATTTATTTCAAATTCATAAATAATGTTAGGAGAAACAGATGGTTTGAAGGGCAACACAGATAAAAAAAATAAAACCACATAACATTAATGTTTACTTGAATTTATTAAATAATGTTAGGAGAAGCAGATGATTTGAAGGGCAACAGAGAGAAAATAAAAACAGATAACATCAATGTTTATTTGAACTGTAGGAAAGACAGATGATTTGAAGGCCAAAACAGAGACAAAATAAAAATCACGTAACATTGTCTGTAAAAAGTTTGTGAAGCAAGTTTATATAGTAAAAAAATAACCACAAATAAGCAGAAGAAGAAGGCCACAAGAAAAAATAAGCAGAAGAAGAGAAGAAGAAATAAGCAGCAGAAGAAGAAGAGCCGGAGCAGCAAGGAGGTCGACCGGCCAAATGACCCGGGGGACGACCGGCTCAGCTATAAAGGTGTCAAAAGGAGTCAAACAGTTCAGACAGATTAGAAACTATCTCTATACTCGTTTGGATTTCTCAGAAATCATTTCAGAACTCATTTGCACATAACAGATGATTGAAGGATATACTTACGAGATTAGTGGGAGTTGAATAGTTATCACCGGTGATGGAATGGGTACAGTGACTGAATGTGCGACTCTTTGGTAGTCGTCTGATTCGACAATAGGTTTGATAAATTTGACCGGAGACAAAAAACAATTGAATCAGTGACCTATAAGAAAATATGTGAAATAAATTTATGATTTATTTGGCCTTGGTGTTGTCGTTGTTTGGTTGCCCGTAGAATGAATCTTCCACAACGCACAAATTGTAAGTCACTTGAGTTGTGGGAGATGGTATGAGTAGGGAGCGGGTTCACAGGATTCATGATTTATAAAATGGTCTGTGAACACTACTCGTGACGAATCTTCAGTCCTGATCTTTGAAACAGAGAAAGATGAGTAGATCAGTTCACGTGAACTTTTTCAGAAACGATGGACATGGAAGCTTTTCAGAAAGGAAGAGGAAGAAGGCTGAAGACGTTGAAAGTGGAGAAATGAATCACAAAACTGCCAACGGGTTTTCAAATAGTAGTTTGAATTATATGGTGGAATTCTATTTTGAAAGTGGTATCTAAACATGAAGCGTGAGTGATAGGATAGAAACGTAATTTCAAAACACATCCAAACAGAGCCAAAATCTCTTTCTTTTCATGTCACATGGTAGACTTTGTATATGTTAAAATAAAAAAATTATTATATAAAGTATAAGTAAAGATTGAACTCAAGACCTTGGATTTCATTAAGAACACACTTATCACTTAAATAACATATTTATTATGATACTAATTTTTCTATTATTTATTTTTATTATCTGAATTGCACACGTATCGCGTGTGCTACCCGCCAGTAAATATTAATTACAACTTACTTTATTCTACAATAAAAAGAAAAAAGAAAAAAATTATTTAAAGAACTACTTTATTCTTGGCCTCCTTCTGGATTATAATCCTCTTCGTTCTAATATGTACATCAATATTTGCATCGTCCATAGCCTGGGGAAAAAAGAGAAAAAAAAAAAAGTTAACACAAGAAGAAAAATACTTCATGAATCTCAAAGAATAAATTAGTGATTGATAGCACCAATATAATTTTAAATATCAATAAATACGTATTGAATTTTTATCCTTTCAATATTGATACATCTTACTTGATATATCAATTAAAATTTTTAGAGAAAAATCATACAGAATTTTTGCTATATTTTGGAACTTATTGTTTCAAAGTGTCCGAAACTCTCAAGAAATTCTCACGACAAAACCTCAAGGTACTTTTCACTTTGCACGTCTTGGACCTTACTTTTGCAACTACTTGACTTTCGCAAGTGTTTATCTCAACAAAAATATGTGAAACTAAATGAAATGTAGGTATATTTTATTTACATTTTACTTATTTTTTTTTATTTTTTATTTCCAAATCTCTTCCTAAATCTCTCAACCTTGCCTCTATCACAGAGTTCATTCTAAAATAGAAATAATCTACCAATAACCCTATAAGGGAATGATTTCATAACTGATCACGGCCGATAAAGTTAATTTAGTCAATACAATTGGTTTGACTGTTATAAAACTTTTTTTCTGCAATTCATTCTATTCTTCGAATACATATCACTCGATACTCTCAATAAGTGACTGATCGATACGTCTCCTGATATTGCTATTTAAAATCATGAGCCAGAAAGAACGAAATTGCAAAGCAAATAACAATCTCAACATACTTGGATTGACATTAGTGATAATCCCAGTTTCTGCGAAATTGCAGTCATATCCATTCCGACCCAGTGCTTGGTAATACGAGTTCATGGCATACGATGCGTGCGCTCGAACGGTGTTAGGATTGAAGCAGACACCGCCTTCTTGTATGGCTCCACAGTACTCCGAATCCAACCCACATACATAATCGATATTCCTCTGCAAAGCATCATCATCGGCTTCTGGTTTGGGAAGACACCACTGTTTTCCCTTAGCTCCTCCTCCAGCTGGAAGTGGACTCATTGCAGGTGCTGCTGGTGGTGTCGACACGGGGGTTGGGTAGGATGGGAAGGTCGATTCTGCCTGCCAGAGCCAAGTTTACAAAAACCAATCAACCATCATGTATATTTGTTTGGCCTCAACTTATAAGTTGGTTCATTTTTTCGACTTGTTTTTGTTGGTTTCTTTTTAGGAGCTAGGGCCAAAAGAAATTTTGAAAAAAAAATCAAATGAATAAAAAAGGTCTACTAAAAATGTAGAAAAATTTGGCTATTTCAACAAATTTTGGCTTTCGCCAAAAGTTGCCATAGTTTTGTGAATTTTTTTTTTTCAATTCAATCTATAAGATGTCTAATCTAAACAAAAATTTTGACTCAATTTTTGTTTGAAAAAAAAAATCATTAAAAACAAAAATAAGTGAAAAAAATAAGACAACCTATAAGCCGAGCCAAAGGATGAATATCAACAAATACGAAATACTGCATGTATCAGTGGCGGCAGTAGCAGCAACAGCAGCAGCTACCGTGTGCTTCAGTATCCCAATATTGTAAACCGGCTTCATGTCCGGCTCAAACAGCCCAAAATGCCTCTCACATGTTGGTCCGGGTTTCAAATCTTCATTAAACAGTGCAAAAATGTAAGTCTCAAATGTCCTATTAGGCATAAGAGGAGTCCCAACACCAGACATGACATGTTGCATAAGCTTCCCATTGAACTCAGCTGCACTCTCAGCATCAACTCCAACTTGCCCCAAATCACCCACTGATGGCCACCCAGTTTCCGCGATAACGATCTCAACGTCGTCGAAACCAAGCAGTTTCATTGCCGAGAACACAGCATCCAATTGCCCATCCAACATGTTGGTGTAAGTTCGTTTAGACATTTCATCGAACACCCCTGGATTGGGCCGAAACAGAGCATAATCGAGAGTTTCAGCAGAGCAGCCAAAAAAGGGGTATGGATTGATCATGAATGGCGAATTGGTGGATCTGAGGAAGCTAAGGAGTGGTTTTAGGATATGGGTATCGTAGCCTTGCCGGAATTTTCCGGCGGACGGCGGCGTAGAGGCGGCGAGAATGCCAAGAGAGTGAGGGGTTGAGACTGAGATTTGGTGGTTTAGAGACTCTGAAACCAAGGCTTTGTAAAGGGTTTGCATTGCTGGGACGAGGCTTGAGATGAGGAGTTTGTTGGCAGTGGCGAGGACTTCATTGCCGACTAAAATTCGGACTACGTTGGTGGAGGGGATGTGGGGGTTGATGGTGGTGTTGAGCCATTGTTGGGCAAAAGTGAGGTTGGTGAGGAGTGGGATTTGATCGTTGGGAATTGTGACTGTGATGGCTATTCCGGTGTGAGCAAAGCCTTGGAGGGTTTGTGGGTCGGAATCGAAGAGTCGAACACGGTCGATGATGGTGGATTCGAGGAGGAAACGGGCTACTTGTGACGGCGGCGGGAGGTTGTTCGCCACCGTGCCGTAGTTTACTCCAATGGTTCCCGCCATTCCTATTTTGAACCATAGTTGCACTCAATTAGAATACAGAAAATGCACACAAAGTATATTAGTGTTATTGAAATTATATTTAAAATAAATTTAAATCACATGGTACACTTTTGTATATATATATTTTTGTGTTATAATTCTATCAAAAATATTTTGGAATTTTAAAACATGAACTTTAAAGGAGTTCTAGGAATAGGCTCCACTTCATTAATGCGATGCTTTGCTTTATTTATTTTTTATTTTTTTAACCCGTTACTAAAACTTTCTTAAAAATTCAAAATTTAAAACTCTCAATCATAATTCTCTTTATATATATCACTATTAGGATCTTTCTTACAGTGCTTTTGCTGGGATTTGTGACAAACACTGAAAAAACGTTGGAAAGGCTTTTCCTAGTGGTTTTTTAACTTTTTTTTACCAACCTTTTTTTTATTTCTTGTTAGGCAAGCTCGATGCAAGTATTTTTTAGGAGTAACCATATATAAGCACCAGAATTACACAAAATGATATGACATATTTAAATTTTATCATCTTAAATAAAAAGATTCGTCAAATAGGCTATTATTTCAAAAATATTTGGATTATGATTTTATATAAAGGTGTTGGGAGGTATTGGTTGTGCCCTAACAATATTAAGAATTTCGAACAATACATCGCGAAATAAGTGTGATAGTCATAAATTTTAAAAAAATATCAATTACAAAAAGAGTTGTATAACAATCAAACCGGCCGTATAAATGGTGAATTCATCATATCAGTTGCGAATCTAAGTGAGATGTATCTAGTACTAGCTGAAACGTGTGTGATTTTTCATTCTAACTAGTATACGGAGATATGTTAGTATTGGAAGAACAACAAAAACTCATTTGATACATATTGCATGATATTTAAAACCATGTTCTAAATAAGCATTCTATACAAAAAAAATTCTTGTAAAATTGCGAAATTTTCAATCATTTCAATTCAAAAAAGGACACAAAATATACCTTGAACAAGGGTGGAAGCAAGGATTTCAATTCAAAAAAGGACACAAAATATACCTTGAACAAGGGTGGAAGCAAGGAGAAGTGCAACTATTCCACTGACAATTGAAGCAATGTTGGCGGTGACAATGGCTGTGGCGGTATTCTTCTCCATGACAGTGGCTGGGAGGTGGAGATTGCATTAATGATATGCATAATAGTGGTTCTGGTCCATAGATGAAGAAGAGTACTCCTGGGAGATGCTTTTCTTTGTGATTAGGAAATGGATTTATGCAAAGTAAAAAAAAGGTTTGGAGTACATGGTGAGGAAGGTAGGTTTTAATTTTTGGCTTTCTCTTTGAATCTGTTCTTTCCACCTCTTTCTTCCTATCTCATTTGAATGTATCATAGCTCCAACACATATAATTAGGACAATAAAGGAGTAGAGTAGTAAATTACTTAAGTTTAATTTAAAATTTTAACGAGTTTTAAAATTGTGCTTAAATTTTTTTTATTGATGTTTTAAATTGATTTTAAATTAGTTTTAATCAAACTGATCACGATACACTGGTTTATAGTGACTATAAATATCAAGCTAAGTTTGAATCGAGTTTAGAAAATTGACGAGTTTTAAAATATATTACATTTGATTTGTGTAGATAATGAATTAATTTTAAATAAGCTTTTAAGAACCGATTACAATTGATTCATTTTATAACCCTAGCTAAATGAGCAGAGAATGTTGTAATTTATTATTATTATTGTTATTTATTTTTTTGTTTGAAGAGTGCTAAAATAGGCATATGGTTGGAGGGCTCGCAAACTAATTTTCTATAACAAAAGCTTGCTATAAGCAAGAGCTTGACAAACTAAGAAGACATCAGGTAATGACTTTTTGGATTTAAAAATAAATATTGGCAATTATTTTTTACTATTAGAAGACTCGCAATCCTATCTTTAATGTACATTGTTAAAATAATTAGTTAAAGTTAAATTTTGATAAAAAAAATAATGTCAAAATATTATATTTTAGCAATGTTACTTAAACAGTACAGATGTTATTTTTTTTAATTTATTTTTCAAATAAATTTCAAATAAAAATGTTATTTGTGGACTCCATTATGAGAAAAAAAGAAAAAAAGAAAAAAGAAAAAACATGTCTTCTCAAAATTTAACTATTGCTAACCTTGGTAAACCATTGAAGAGCTTTATCCTGAATTTCATGTTAAAAATGAAAATAATTATTTGGTTTACTCATGAATGAGATAGATGCCATGTATATGTATGTAATAGATTCATGACACAATATAGAAAACGATATAAATAAGGAAACAATACTAAATCAGTGATTGATACAATCACAGATTATATACATAATACTAAAAATAAAAAGATTCTATGTACTTTAATTTCTATATTCAACACTTCCTCTCAAACTGGTGTAAGGATATTCAACAATCGCAGCTTGGCAATAGATGACTGGAAAAAGTTAAAAAAAACTCAATGGCTAGTCTAAATAAATGTTACTGAACAAATCAGATAGTCCACTAAATAAAAAAGGCCAAAAAGTGCTTAATACATCAACACCACACCCTAAAAAGGGAAAAAAATAAAAATAAAATAAGGATTAAACTACCCTAGGAGAGCTACCGAAGTATCTATGGTCAGAAAACACCCTAGCCAACAAGACCTTGGTCTGCATCAGATGCCGGAGTTAATACAGGGTCATGCCGGATCGTTGTAGGAACTAACCAGAATTAATGTCGAGACAGTTTAAGGGGTCACGTCGGACAGATGTAGAGAACTGGATGTTGAACCAACAAACGTGACACACACATAACTTATGACGTGGTACTGAACAATGAAAGTAACAGATGATTGAGTACGCCAAGGGGTGGCTTATTAGAAAGTGCGCCAGAGATGCAACTTAGGTGGTGCTCCAAGGGGGCGACTTGGGTTGTGCACCTGAAGGAGCGACTTGGGTTGTGTGCCAGATGGGGGCGTCTTAGGTGGTTCACATGGTATATCACCATGCTCACCATTGTTAGCCCCAAGGTTATTCATCTTTCAAATTCTATTGATTTTGATCATGAACAAATATTTTGAACTTATTTTGTTATTTAAAGTTTTTAAAATAAAAATTGTATTTCATGATTCTAGAAGTTATATGATTCTAAAGTATTATTTTTCAATCATTTTTGTGCCCTCAAAACATGAGCATCAAAACTTGGTTGCAAAACTCTATCCATACTTAAAACAAGTCTAAGGGTCGACACCAAGATAGCAAGGGTCGACACCAGAATGAAGCCTAAAATGCACAAGTGTTCTAGCTGCAAGGGTCGACACCAAATTTTAGAATGTAATTCAGCAGTAAGGGTCAACACCAAGATAGCAAGGGTCGACACCAAGATAGCAAGGGTCGATACCAAATTTCGAAATGCAATTCAGTAGTAAAGGTTGACACCAAGAAGCACAACGGTCGACCCTAAATTTCATAATGTATTTCAGCAGTAAGGGTCGACACCAAGACTGATAAGGGTCAACACTAGAAACATTTGAGACTCAACGCAGAGAAGAGAGAGAAGCAAAGGGTCAACACCTAATTTGCAGGGGTCGACACCTGTAAATTTGGGTTTAAAAAATCCCACCTGCCAAATTAGATCCAGATTGTTACAGATCATTTCTCAGCCACCTTTTTCAGATTTTTTGTACCGAATACGTCATATTTTCTGATCACTGAGCAGATCCTCTGGCACCATATCTTCTCTAAGAAGTTGACTTATGAGGTTGAGCATTAAATAAAAAGCTTATGCATTTAATGAATCCTCTCTTACCGAGACCTGTCTACAGTCTGCCTTCTTCTTGTTCTGATCAAACACAGCTGGAGCAAATCCCTCACGATCTTCTCTAACGAATAGGAGAATCAAATCTTCTCTCTTTAACAGCTAGAAGCCATTAATATTATAAATATGGAGGTCTCCTTATTCATTTAATACACTACTTCAATACAACAAGCCTAGAGCATTCAAGAGCAATGAAAAGCTTTTATTATACTTCATTTGTACTTTCATTTTCATATCTAAATGAGTCCTAAATTACTTGAGAGCTTACACTTTCATATCCATCTTTTGTGAGAGAACATTTGTAAAAGAGGAAAGTTGTACCTCTTATTCTTATTCCATATTTTCTAAGTGGCACACTTGTAAAGTGAGACATTTAGTTGAAAGGATCTCAACAGATTGAAGGAAGTCCTTGTAAAAATCCACAAGTTAGGTGGAGCTTGGTGGTACATCTATTCACAGTGAAGAAATTCTTAAGAAGGTGTCTTGAGGGGTGGACGTAGGCCGGTGAGCCGAACCACTATAAATCCTTGTATCAAGCTCTTTTTTCCTTTCCTTTTATTTTCTATGCATTGATTTATTGTCATCTGCCATTAAATACTTAGTCTTTGCAAATTTATTTTTGGACCAAATTTTTAATTACCCAATTCACTCCCTTTTTGAGTTGCCTTCCTAAATAACAATTGGTATCAGAGCTTTGTCTCTAGTATTGTGACTTAACCGTCTTAGAGTGATCTATGGCAACAACTAGCTTTTCTCTTCCTGAAGGTCAAGCCTCAAACAGACCACATTTCTTCAATGACACAAATTTCAACTATTGGAAAACCCGCATGATTATGCATATTCAATCTACCGACTATGAGGTTTGGAAAATCATATGTAATGGTCCTAAAGTCCCCACCAAAACAATAGATGGTCTGTTAGTCCCCAAACTTGAAAGTGAGTGGACTAATGATGATTACAAAGATATTCAATCCAATACCAAAGCTGTTAACATGTTATATTGTGCACTTGATACTACTGAGTTTAATAGAATATACACTTGTATAACTGCGAAAGAAATTTGGGATAAACTTGTTGTAACTTATAAGGGAACTACTCAAGTCAAAGAATCTAGAGTGAGCTTGCTTATTCACAATTGCGAGCTTTTCAAAATGAAACCCGATGAGAATATATCCCAAATGTTCACTCGGATTGCATACTTTCATAGAAGAGTTAACATATTTTCTCAGATTGCAAATAAAACAAACCCAAGATGGTATTCATAAATCTCAAGCAAAATATGTCAAAGATCTCCTCAAAAGATTTGAAATGGATTTGTCTAAACCTGCAGTAACTCCCATGAGCACTTCGATTAAAATTGACAAAGACGAGCAAGGTAAACCGGTAGACGAAAAGAAATATCGAGGTATGATTGGTTCCTTACTCTATCTAAAGGCTAGTAGACCCGATATCATATTTAGCATTTGTATGTGTGCTCATTTTCAATCATCTCCAAAAGAATCACACGTCACCGCAGTAAAACGCATTTTCAGATATCTCATTTGCACTCCACTTTTGGGGCTTTGGTACCTTAAAACAAATATTTTTGATCTTTATGGTTATTCGGATGCCGACTTTGCGAGATGTAGACTTGACCGTAAAAGCACTAGTGACACTTTGGAAATTCACTCACATCTTGGTTTTGTAAAAAATAAAATTCTGAGGCTTTATCTACAGCTGAAGCAGAATATATTGCCACCGATAGTTGTTGTGTTCAAATGCTTTGGATCAAACAACAACTTCTTGATTTTGGACTTCACTTTGATCACTTACCAATTAAATGCGATAACACTAGTGCCATTAATCTTTCAAAAAATCCCATACAGCATTCACGTACTAAACACATTGAAATAAGGCATTAATTTCTACGAGATCATGTACTTAAAGGTGACATTGAACTCGAATTTGTGCCTACAAGTCAACAATTGGCCGATATCTTTACCAAACCTCTAAATGAGGAACAATTCTACTTTATTTGAACTGAGTTTGGTATGTTGAATATTCCTGTATGATGTTAAACTATGTGTTATTATGCTTCTTTGAGAAATTTGATGTGAGAAACACTAGTTATTGCCTTTCAGGACCCTTAAGGGTCGACCCCCTACTCTTTAGGGTCGACACCTTGTGAACCAGGGTTGTGCCGTTGCTTAGGGTTGACACCTCTCTTCGAAGGTGTCGACACCTGATGGATCTGAGGATACTGCTTTTTAGTGTCGACCCCCTTCCTCTAAGGGTCGACACTTGCCTTTTAAGTAAGATTTTTGCCGCGCGGTCTTTTCAAATTCGAAGGGTCGACACCTCTCTTCCCAAGGATTGACACATTCTCAAGAGTATTAATATACCACGTGACCCTTCATTCTCTCTTGTGA